GAATGCATCCATTTCTTCCAGGTTATCTAATTTGCTGGCATATAGTTGCTCATAATATGTTCTTATAATTGTATTTCTTTGATGTTGGTTGTGGTCTCTCCTCTTTCATTCATGATTTTATTTATTTGGGTCCTTTCTCTTTTCTTTTTAATAAGTCTGGCCAGGGGTTTATAAATCTTGTTAATTCTTTCAAAGAACCAGCTCCTAGTTTCGCTGATCTGTTCTACTGTTCTTTTAGTTTCTATTTCATTGATTTCTGTTCTGATCTTTATTATTTCTCTTCTCCTGCTGGGTTTAGGCTTTATTTGCTGTTCTTTCTTCAGCTCCTTTAGGGGTAGTGTTTGGTTGTATGTTTGAGACCTTTCTTGTTTCTTGAGAAAGGCTTGTATTGCTATATACTTTCCTCTTAGGACTGCCTTTGCTGCATCCCAAAGACTTTGAACAGTTGTGTTTTCATTTTCATTTGTTTCCATGATTTTTTAAAATTCTTCTTTAATTTCCTGGTTGACCCATTCATTCTTTAGTAGGATGCTCTTTAGCCTCCATGTATTTGAGTTCTTTCCGACTTTCCTCTTGTGATTGAGTTCTAGTTTCAAAGCATTGTGGTCTGAAAATAGGCAGGGAATGATCCCAATCTTTTGGTACCGGTTGAGACCTGATTTGTGACCTAGGATGTGATCTATTCTGGAGAATGTTCCATGGGCGCTAGAGAAGAATGTGTATCTTGTTGCTTTGGGATGGAATGTTCTGAATATATCTGTGAAGTCCATTTGGTCCAGTGTGTCATTTAAAGTCTTTATTTCCTTGTTGATCTTTTGCTTAGATGATCTGTCCATTTCAGTGAGGGGGTTGTTAAAGTCCCCCACTATTATTGTATTGTTGTCGATGTGTTTCTTTGCTTTTGTTATTAATTGCCTTATAAAATTGGCTGCTCCCACGTTAGGGGCATAGATATTTACAATTGTTAGATCTTGTTGGATAGACTCTTTAAGTAGGATATAGTGTCCTTCCTCATCTCTTATTACAGTCTTTGGTTTAAAATCTAATTTGTCTGATATAAGGATTGCCACTCCAGCTTTCTTTTGGTGTCCATTAGCATGGTAAATCGTTTTCCACCCCCTCACTTTCAATCTGAGGGTGTCTTTGGGTCTAAGATGAGTCTCTTGCAGACAGCATATCGATGGGTCTTGTTTTTTTATCCAATCTGATACCCCGTGTCTTTTGATTGGGGCATTTAACCCATTTACATTCAGGATAACTATTGAAAGATATGAATTTAGTGCCATTGTATTGCCTGTAAGGTGACTGTTACTGTATATTGTCTGTCTTTCTTTGTGGTCTGTGTTACTTTTAGGCTCTCTGCTTAGAGGACCCCTTTCAATATTTCTTGTAGGGCTGGTTTTGTGTTTGCAAATTCCTTTAGTTTTTGTTTGTCCTGGAAGCTTTTTATCTCTCCTTCTATTTTCAATGACAGCCTAGCTGGATATAGTATTCTTGGCTGCGTATTTTTCTCATTTAGTGCTCTGAATATATCCTGCCAGTCCTTTCTGGCCTGCCAGGTCTCTGTGGATAGGTCTGTTGCCAATCTAATGTTTCTACCATTGTAGGTTACATATCTCTTGTCCCAAGCTGCTTTCAGGATTTTCTCTGTCTCTGAGACTCGTAAGTTTTACTATTAGATGTCGGGGTGTTGACCTATTTTTATTGATTTTGAGAGGGTTTCTCTGTGCTTCCTGGATTTTTTTTTTTTTTTAAGATTTTATTTATTTATTTGACAGAGAGATAGAGCCAGAGAGCACAAGTGGAGAGAATGGCAGAGGGAGAGGGAGAAGCAGGCTCCCCACTTGAGCAGGGAGCCTGATGCGGGGTTCGATCCCAGGACCCTGGGATCATGACCTGAGCCGAAGGCAGACGCTTAACTATCTGAGCCACCCAGGCGCCCCTGTGCTTCCTGGATTTTGATGCCTGTTTCCTTACCCAAATTAGGGAAGTTCTCTGCTATAATTTGCTCCAGTATACCTTCTGCCCCTCTCTCTCTTTCTTCTTCTGGGATCCCAATTATTCTAATATTGTTTTGTCTTGTGGTATCACTTATCTCTCGAAATCTGCCCTTATGATCCAGTAGTTGTTTATCTCTCTTTTTCTCAGCTTCTTTATTCTCCATCATTTGGTCTTCTATATCACTGATTCTCTCTTCTGCCTCATTTATCCTAACAGTTAGAGCCTCCATTTAATAGCCTTTTTAATTTCGACTTGGTTAGATTTTAGGTCTTTTATGTCTCCAGAAAGGGTTTCTCTAATGGCACTTTTTTCAATCCCAGCTAGTATCTTTAAAATCATCATTCTGAACTCTACTTCTGACATCTTACTAATATCCGTATTGATTAGGTCCCTGGCAGTTGGTACTGCCTCTTTTTCTTTTCTTTGAGGTGATTTTTTCTGTCTTGTCATTTTGTCCAGAGGAGAATAGATGAATGAGAGAACAAAATGCTAACAGGGTAACAACGACCCCAGAAAAATACACACTAAAGAAATCCGAAGAGACCTGAAACCAGGGGAAAAGAAAGGGAAAGAAAGAAAAAAGAAAAAAAGAAAAAGATAAACAAGCAAACAACAAAAAAACAGAATATGATCAAATATGATCAGGCTGGTGCATAGATCAGTGCCATACACTAGATTTGGGGCATATTTTGGTGTGTTAGAAGAAAGTGCCTCCCAAAATTTTAAAGAAAAAAAACTTATATATGTAGAAAAATAAGGGTAAATACGATGAAGGGATGGAATATGATTGTAAAGATGAAAATTATAAAAGATTTTATAAAAGGAATTGATAAGTTGGTTGAAAAAAGAAAGGATTTAAAAAAAAAAGGCGGGGGGAGAGAATGTGATCAGGCAGGAGACTAGAACAAAGCCATATACTAGAGATTAGGGTATATTTTGGTCTGTTAGAAGAAACTGTATCCCCAAATTTTAAAGAGAACAACTTACCAAAAATAAGGGTAACTACTATGAAGGGTTAGAATATGACTCTAAAAATGAAAAATAAAAAAGACTTTTTAAAAAAGGGATCAGTAAGATGTTGGTTGAAAAAGGGAAAAAGAAAAATTCAAAAAAAAAAATTAACTTTGAAGGACTAAAGAATCATGGTAAAGAAGCCATGAATTCTCTGTGCAGTATTCCCCTAACGTTGGAGTTCTGCCGTTCTCATTGATCGGTAAACTTGGTCTTGGCTGGCCGTTCTTGCTGATCTTCTGGGGGAGGGGCCTGTTGCCATGGTTCCCAAATATCTTTGCCAGAGGCATAATTGCCAGTCCGGTCTAAGTAATCTGCTCAGGTTTGCTCTCCGTAGCTTTTGTTCCCTGCAAGCTTTCCGTACAGCTTTGGAGGATGAGATTGAAAATGGCAGCCTCCCAATCTCCGCCCCGGAGGAGCCGAGAACTCGGGGCCCCGCTCCTCAGTGCGCCCCCAGAGAAAAGCAGTCATCACACCCATCTCCCCGGTCTCTGGCCGCACTCTGTGCTCACCTGGCCTGTGACCGAGCATTTCTATCTCTGGCACATGACCCCACGTGGAGTCTCCAAACCCAGCAGATGCCTGCGGTGCGCTCCCACACCACTCCTCCCAGAGGAGGAAGGGGAATCTCCCTGGATCTGCTGCTTGTTGGGTACCTGCTGTAGGAGCAGTGGCCCGACTGTGCCACGGGCCACGGTTTATGGCAACCCTGAGCTGCGAGCCTGCTCCTCGACTCGGTCTCCGCAGCCGGCTTCCCTGCTCTGATACCTGGGTGCTCTGCCACACTCAGGCACCCCCGGTCTTTCTGTGACCCCGAGGGTCCTGAGACCACACTGTCCCAGCGAGGGTTCCACCCCGTGCTTAGCCACTGGAACGACGTCCCTCAGCGGAGCCGACTTCTAAAAGTTCCGATTTTGTGCTCCGCTGCTCTAGCACTTGCCAGTAGCAGCTGACGGAGGCCCCCTCCCCCGCCGTCTATCCTCCCGAATATCGCCTTGGATTCACTTCTCAGCACGTCCTACCTTCCAGAAAGTGGTTGCTTTTCTGTTCAGAGAGTTGCTGCTATTCTTTTCTTCTATCTCCTGTTGAGTTCGTAGGTGTTCAGAATGGTTTGATTCCTATCCAGCTGAATTCCTGGGACCAGATGAAATTTAGGTCTCCTACTCCTCTGCCATCTTGCCTCAGTTTATTATTTTTTAAAGATTTTATTTATTTGAGAGAGAGAGTGCACGCGCTGGAGGCAGGGCAGGGGGAGAGGGACAAGCAGGCTCCCCTTTGAGCAGGGATCCTGATGCGGGACTCAATCCCAAGACCCTGAGATCATGACTGAGCCAAAGGCAGATGCTTAATCTACTGAGCCACCCAGGCACCCCTCAATTTATTATTTCTTGCATTTATGAATCTTTCATTTGTATGGTCCTAAGATCACTTCTTTTGATGGTGTACGTACCCCGTTTTGGAAACTCTTAACTTCAGTTATTTCCTTCCCATGTTATTCCAGCTTGTTCTTTCTGTAAAAGCTGGAGAAGTGCTGGCAGCCAGAAGTTAGAAGAGCAATAAGCAGGTGCTTATTAAAGAAGCTACATATAGCACTGTTTGCTTGTTCTTATCCTGTTTAGCCTGTGACTAATTTTGTTATTTTAAAAATTTTTAAGAGGGGGTGCCTAGATGGTTCAGTCGTTAAGCGTCTGCTTTCGGCTCAGGTCACGAGCCCAGGGTCCTGGGATCAAGCCCTGCATTGGACTCCCTGCTCAGCGGGAAGCCTACTTCTCCCTCTCCCACTCACCCTGCTTGTGTTCCCTCTCTCGCTGTGTCTCTCTCTCTGTCAAAGAAATAAATAAAATCTTAAAAAAAAAATTTTTTTTTGAGAGGAAAAATGATTATTAGCTCAAGGGCCAGAGCATGCAAGACAGAGAAATAATTTTAAGTGTTTCTGATAATCTTAGAGCTTTGTACTCAGGTGTGTGCATATACTTGTGTTTTCTGAGGGTGTGGAGAGAAGCACGGGATCGCATTGTGGGTTTCCCTGGCCGTTACCATGCGTGGGACATCCCTCATCAGTCCTGGCTCTACAATTCCAACTACTCCTGTGAGCTGTCCATGGTGCTGACAGGTGCTGCCTTCTTTCACAAGGTAAGAAAAAGCTTGGTAAGATTGGTGTGAACTTGGTTAAGAGTTGAGCCTTTGTGTGGTAGTGAAATGCTGCCCTAAAGTTAGCCCTCCTAATGTTTCTTATATGTCCCTTGTATGCTAGACATGTAAGTTATTTCAGTTTTTAAAGACTGTATTCAAGAATAAACTCTGGGATAAAATGTCAGGGTGAGAAGGCTCCCTGCATAGTTGCATGTAGGCTATTAGGAAAATTAGTTTGTTCTTTCTGGGCATTGGCTCGCCTATAAAATTGAGAGCTTTGGACTAAAATACTGTTGTTTTACCATTGTTGTCCCAGACATGGCCTGCCCAGCAGAAAGAAGGTTGGTTCTCTTTTGACTCAGGTTAACCCACTACTATCTCAAGCTCCACCATGAGCCTCTGTTGTGGTAATGCAAGTTTTGTTTATTCCTTAGAGCTTTCACCATGGCACACATCCCAGGTCTTATTGGATATCTAAATTGCAAATCCCTCCAGTCATTACTTCTCTCCTGTATTGTTAATGCTAAGCTTTTTTTGCTCCTGACTCATCTTTCCTCTGTACGTTTTCTGTTCTATAAAGTAGCCACTGGCCACACATGGCTATTGAATACTTGAAATGCGACTGACTGGCCAATATTGAAATGAGCTGTAAGTGTAAAGTGCATACCAGATTTTGATATGTTAAAATGCAATTATTTTGGATACACTGGGTTAAATAAAATATATTCTAATCAATTTTACTCTTTCTCTTTTTAAAAATGTGGCCACTAGGGATATCTGGGTGGCTTAGTCAGTTAAGCTTCTGACTTCGGCTCAGGCCATGATCTCAGGGTTCTGGGATCGAGCCCTGTGTTGGGGCTCTGCACTCAGTGGGAGGTCTGCTTGTCCATCTCCCTCTGCCCCGCTCGTGCTCTCTGTCTCTCTCACAAATTAATTAAATCTTTTTTTAAAATGTGGCTACTAGAGAATTTAAAGTGACAGTTGTGACTCACATATCTTAGATAGTGTTGCTCTATACCTTCCCTCCCAAGTACTTCTTCTGGGCTCTGAAGAAGCCCTCTTCTGAGGTGGTCAAGTTGCCTGCACCCCAACCCCCCCGCCACTTCACAGAATGCCTCCTCTATCTCTTGACCTGATTAAAACCCGACTTTTTTCTGAGGACAGTGCTTCCCCTTTACGTTGTTCCTGTATTTCTTCCAGGGACAGTGATTGAGTCCACTCATTTCCCCAGATACGTACTTTGGAGCAGGGAAGGTTATAAAGAACCATTTTTATTGCTTACTGATGACACTTCCAGACAGTTCTCAGCTATCATATAAAATCTCATTTGAGGCTCACAGCATCTGTCTTGTTGCTTCCATCTAGCAACCTCCTAGCCATTTTTTCCTGGTCATCAAAGACCTTGGCACATGGCCCGTCCTCTTGATCTCCCCTCCATGCCCGCTCTCATTCTGGGCAACTTCATTGCTCTCATGGAAGACCCATCCACCATACTGTTTGCCCCATAAATGTTGAAGTATCTCAGCCTTCTAACTTCTGTATCTAGTGCTCTTCTTACTTTGGTCTTCCCTAGATGTTCTCTCATAGCTCAAGGTCTTGGGGCTGAGCACCTACAGGCTGGTAATTTCTGTGTCTATATTCCTGTCTTGGCTGTTCCCTGATGCCTGTACTTATATACCTAATTGTTTTCAGGACCCCCCCCCCCCCCGCTCCGCCGCCCGCCGTATGTCCCCCTGGTACCTCAAACTGACATCCCAACTTTCTCCAGGCTTTGTCCCTTACATATTTCAAATTTCAGATGGTGGCATCTTTCGACCCACTGCAAACAGAATTTTGAAAGTCATCTTACTAGGGATATTTTGAATCAGGCTAAGAAATCATTACATCTTCAGCTTTTTTTTTTTTTTTCTTTTTACAACTTAATGTGTGATGCTGATATGCTTGTCCCATTCTTGAACCTCACCCTCATGCTTATTTTCCAAATGTGGGTGGGCTTTGGTTGGGATGGGGAAAGTATCTGGCTGAGAAACCATACCTAACTAGTAGTCCTTTATTTTCACACTGGTCATCCAAGAAAGAACCACCAATTTCAGCATTGTCTATTCATACCTTGAGAATTTACTTGTGTTCTAAAAAGTCTGCCTGTTCCCAAATTCTGAAGTTTAAAAGTTACAGTAGTGAGATCCCGTCATTTTCAAGTAATAAATAATTTACTTAGTAAACCTTGGAGTTTTTATTTTCTATTTGAAAATCTAGAACAAAGGTAGCAGCCCTCAAGCCTATGATTTACAGAAATGTTTATTTAGTCCCCCATTGCTCCCCACCCAACATGGAACCCAACGTGGGGCTCAATCTCATGACCCTGAGGTCACAGCCTGAGCCGAAACCAAGAGTCAGATGCTTAACCGACCACACCACCCAGGCGCCCCTTAACTTTTTGTTTTAATTCCAGTTAACATTCAGTGTTATATTAGATTCAGTATATTATTTTTTAAAATCCTGAATTGATACTGTGCTATGGAAGTCAGAGCTCTATTTCTAAATTAAACATGTTTTTGATACTTGGTTTTAGTCACTGTCCCTGTAAGAAATACCATATTGCTGTGCTTATTAAGTCATGATACTCATCTACTAAATTGTGTTCAAATTGGACTAGAATTTTCATCTTCTGTAATGCCATTTAATTTTTTTTTAGCAAACTAACGAGAAAGTGTTACTTTTTCTTAGAGTAGGTTCTAAATCCATTGAAACTTCATTTAAAATATTTTTAAACAGGTTACAAAGTTTTTATATGTTTTAAAATGTGCAGATATGAAAGTGTTTATTGATTTATGGCATCAGTCATAATCACAAAATGGTGGAAATACTTCTAAACGTTTGTTTTCATAATGCTTTCTCCATTTTTCTAAAAAGGCAGTTCTTTCTTCTGGTTATGTCTCCTTTCCCTTGTTGAGGATATGGATTGTGTTCAGTAAATATATTCTCATTAGCATACTAATGACAGCCACTGGCCATTTAAAGGGTCAACAGATTTCAATCATCTGCCTTTTTATAAAAGAAAAATGTGTAATTCATCTTTTAAGTTCACCAGCCTTTAAGTACTTTGTCACAAGATAACCAGCAAACCACTGTGTGGTACAAAAAATTTTATGATCAGTATTTCATTACATAGATTCTAACTATTTAAGGTAATAAAATAGATATAAATCAGTTTTATTAGGCACCTCACCTATTCATTCATCAGCAACATTGCAACACATCATAGTTGACATGTGCCTTGTTTATAGCATTTGTCCATTTCTGTGGTATAAATATTTTTAGCATGGCTGATTTCAAGTTATAGATATGAGTCACTGAACTTGGAGTTGGAAAGGGATGGGCAGTTCTATAGTATTTTCACCATACAGATATGATAGACATAAATAACTTCAAGATAATAGTAAAATGTAATAAACAATAGTAAAATGAAGCTAATTAATTAAGTGATGTGCTTTAGCTACTTATTGGTTTTTAATATAGCTTATTTAATTTTAAGTTTATGTAATTATATTTTTAATAATGGCTATTTTTCGTAACAAGTTCACAGAATTCCTAAATAGTCTCATAAAATTCCTGAAAATATAGCAGTTGACATTCATTAGCAGATGTGAGCCAGCTTTAGCACACCATTTTGTGGGCCTTTCAGGACATTTTAAGAACATAGGCCTTTACTCTGAGTGAGATGAAAAACCGCTGAGGTTTGGAGTGACATGTTCAGTTAGTTGCACTTGTGTTTGAACATGGTCACTCTGCTGTGCATAGAATGGACTGGAGGGAAGAAAATATGGGAGCAGGGAAACTGTTTAGGAGACTATATGAATAATCAGGCAAAAGATGATGGTGGTTTGGAGCAGGGAGTAGCCAGTGGCAGTGGTTAAGAAGTGATCAGATTCTAGAATCCATAAGCGGAGGAACTGAGGGATTGGATTTTTATGGCTCTGTAACCAGGCTTTCCCCTCACTTATCCCTTATTGCCATTGTCACAGATAGAATGCTGTTCATCTGAACCACTGTCTGACCTAATTTGATAAATCTTCATATTGTAAAATCACTGAGGTGCCATGGACCTCAAAAGGGGGATGATAATGGCAATTCGGGTGGGTTAATTATTTATTGCAGAAGATCTGCCTTGTAGGATGTTTAGCATCCCTGGCCCCAACTCCCTAAATAAAGGGAGTGGTGATTCCTCTAATGATCGTCACACCCAACCTCCTCCTCACCCCTCCGCTTCCTAACAGCCCCTAGATCCATGTATATTTTGGCTGAAAGCCAAAGAACTGTGGCCTCTAACAGAGTATGTGATTCTTTTTCTACCCCTGACAGTATTATGCCTACCTGTATTCTTATGTGATGCCCCAGGCCATCCGAGATATGGTGGATGAATACATCAACTGTGAGGACATTGCCATGAACTTCCTTGTCTCCCACATCACTCGGAAACCCCCCATCAAGGTGAGGGTCCCAGTACTTACGGGACTGGGGGTGCATGCGTACTTAATTCACTTATTTTGCTGTAATGCAGTACGAAACTCATCATACCTCAGAGTCCTCATCTGTAATTGTCTTTGGGTTAAATGAGTTGTTAATATAGGGACTCTTAACTACTAAGGCGTAAATGGACAGAACTCAGAGGGTTTGGAACTTGGATGGGAAACATGTTACATCTTAATTTTCGCTAATCTCTAACAGATTTAGCATTTCCATCAGTTAGGAAACATGTGACAATTCCTAAGAGTATTTGCAGTAACTGATTTGTCACCAGTAGAACTCATAGATATTTTCATATCACATTACTTTTGTTCCTACATCTTAAAGTATTATTTATGTCCATCAGTGTTTTAAAATTACTGTGTTTTCCATAGACCCATGGCACAAGAAATTTAAGGTTTCTGAGTTAATCTGTGTAAAGACATTTACTCAAAAACAAAACCAAAGGTGCCCTCAGAATTCTAGAAATTTGAGTTCTGTCTTTGTCTTTGAGCTAGTGAATATATGTGACCAGAATATAATAATTTCATACTCAGTGTACAGAAAGACCAGTTACGTCACCTTCTATGTCATCATTGCAGGTTGGAGACAAATGAAAGCTCTTCTGGTGGTGATTAGGGTAGGCCTGGTAAGGACCTTGCAGCAGTTAATACTTGAGAATCTGTTTGTCAGTTCAAACTAATTGTATCTATGACTATGGTCTGTCAGTATTTATGTGATGGAGTCATACCTGATGTCCTTAGGGTTAATAAGCTGATTAAGATCTTATTATTGTTAAAAAGGCATATTATTTAATTTTATAAAATAACAAGTTTACCTCCATGTATATCATAATAATTAGGTGGATATTTCATTCTTCTTATATTTTGAAGGTAAGTTATAGATGAAGTAACCACCAGCCTATGCTAATGATACTCAAATCATATCTTTAGTGGTAGTAGAGCGGTAAACAGAAGACATTGGGTCCACACCACAAAGCATAAAAAGAGAGAAAAGCAGTTGGGGGCCTTATGCATTCATTTATACCTAATCAAACCTTTTCAACCAAGTGTAGCTTGGCATTATAACTTAACTTCTGATTACCCCATAGTTTTTTCTATTTCTGGGCCTTCTGCTAAAGTCTCACAAAAGAAAAATAATTAGCAAAATAATGCACCAATTTTTTTAAGCTGTGATTAATTGTTATGATTATATAAAAGTGTAGTGTGTTTCCCAGGTGCAGTGATGGCTATTAAAATAAATAAATATTAAAATATTTGTTTTCATTTTATGTGATGTTAAATGAAAAGCCCACTTCCTTATAAACTTTAAGGTAGGGAGACAGGGGTCCTAGAAAGAAATTAATGATCGGTGCAATTTTCTTTTCTTTCTTTATTCTTTCTTATGTAGCCAGGGACTAAGCTTCATCCAAGATGTATGCTTCTATTTATACTTCCCTAGTAGATCAGAAGACATTATCCTTGAAAATTTAAAGTATCTGAGTGATTAGGTGCCTAATAATATCATCAGTCACCTGAAGCACTCACAGACATGATGAATTTTTCATCCTTATTAAAGTGTGTTTGTCTACCATATTATTAGGCCGGTGTTTCATTAGTCAAACCGTCTCTTCAGTGTAGAGAGTAAAACAAATATTTTGCACATAGTATACATGATCCTAACCAAGTGAAAACTTGAAAAATGAGTATTCTCTGTGAATTTTCTCAATCTTATGGGAATATAAGAAGAGTTCAACTCAAGATTAGGATGACTTTTTATTTTATTTTATTTATTTATTTAAAAAGATTTTATTTATTTACTTGACAGAGAGAGGGGACACAAGCAGGGGGAGTGGGAGAGGAGAAGCAGGCTTCCCGCTGAGCAGGGAGCCCGATGTGGGGCTCGATCCCAGGACCCTGGGATCACAACCCGAGCCGAAGGCAGACGCTTAACTACTGAGCCACACAGGAACCCCAGGATGACTTTTTAAAATCAAAAGCTCAATAGGGGCGCCTGGGTGGCTCTGTCGGTTAAGGATCCAACTCTTGATCTCAGCTCAGGTCTTGATCTCAGGGTCATGAGTTCAAGCCCTGTGCTGGACTCCATGCTGGGTGTGGAGCCTACGTTAAAAAAAAAAAAAAAAGAGCTCAACAAATTAAGAATGTCTTCAAATTCTGAGTCCAGTTATGTACTATAGAACCAGTTTGTTTTTTTTTTAAGATTTTATTTATTTATTAGAGAATGAGAGAGAGCACATGAGGGGGGAGGGTCAGAGGGAGAAGCAGACCCCCTGCCGAGCAGGGAGCCCAATGCGGGACTCAATCCAGGGACTCCAGGATCATGACCTGAGCCGAAGGCAGTCGCTTAACCAACTGAGCCACCCAGGCGCCCCACTATAGAACCAGTCTGAGCTAAATATTTTAATTAATTTACCTAATTTTACCAGGTATTTATACTATTTTATGTTCTAAAATAGTCATTCTTTTTTTTTTGCTTTAACTACTTCAAATTTTCACTATCAAACTATATTCTCTCCCTTGTTATGATTAAGAAGGTGTGACTGATCTATGTGATTAGCAGTGTTCTTTTAAAAATGTTAATGTCTTCACAGTACTGAGTAAATAAAGAACAGGGAGTTAATTTCATATTATTGGTTTGAATAATGTTATCTTTTAAGAAGGAGAAAGATCTAGAATGTAAACAGGCTTCATTGAGAACAAAGGATTTCAGAACTCAGTAAGCATTTAGAAGACGGGTGGCTTAGGTAATAAGGAAGTAGAGGGAGGCAGCATAAGTACACATCTTAATTCTCTGGTAAAGGAGGTTCTCAACATCTATTCAAGGATTTTCCTTACTATTACTGTGCAGGACACTAATACTTCTCTTAGACTGAATAACCTGGAACATTCCCACATAAAATATAATCCATGGTATTGGTTAGGTAAATGTTTAAACTTCTTTTTATAGTTTAGCTGTTGCTTCATCTTTCTTTTTTTTTTTTTTTAAGATTTTTTATTTATTTATTTGACAGAGAGAGAGAGAGATAGCGAGAGCAGGAACACAAGCAGGGGGAGTGGGAGAGGGAGAAGCAGGCTTCCCGCCGAGCAGGGAGCCTGATGTGGGGCTCGATCCCAGGACCCTGAGATCATGACCTGAGCCCAAGGCAGACGCTTAACGACTGAGCCACCCAGGCGCCCCTTGCTTCATCTTTCTTAATTCCTTTCTTTGTATGTTTTATTATGTAATACAGTTTTCTATAATATATAAGTATATATACAAAAATATATATAAATGTACTTTATAAATACACTGGGGTTGCAGTGTCAAAATTTTTTTTACTGATGGGACACATGATTAGAAACCACTGCTTCAGTGAAAACAGTCTATCTTTTTGTGTCAAATGAAATCATTTGCAAGGTAAGGGGCTTTTCCCCTGTGGTTGGATGCTGGCATCTGGGATGAGGAGAAAGATTGTTAGGTATAGGGAGGACGAAGGAGAATACCATACATAGGTGCTGTTTGATAATATCCTTCTCTTGGCAAATTCTTGACAGGGAGGATGGTGGGAAGAGTGGTAACTCATTGTTCCCTGTAACCGCAGGAGTCCTGTGAGAACTGGAGAAGTGGGGAGTCTGGTGGGAGTGAGAGGGAGAAGTAGGGAGCCTCGTGGGTTCCTTCACAGAGACTGCTACTGCGGAAGTCCTGACTCCCTCAAACTTGCGGCTGCGTGGTGAGCTGCCCTTGGGGCACTGACCAGTGCGCTCCCCTGTTTCAACTCTGGAGACCCGGGTTCTGATGGCTCTTACTGGCTGTATATGTGATGTGTACTCTTCAGCTAAAAATTATGGGATGGGCCATTGAATCTTCATTTTTTCCTCAGTTTATGATAGTAATAATCACTTTTAAATTATTTGGGCAAAGATAGATGTATTCAGAAAGAAATAAAAGTTACTCAGGCCTAGGGGCACTTGGGTGGCTTAGTCAGTTAAACATCTGCCTTCAGCTCAGGTCATGATCCCAGGGTCCTGGGATGGAGTCCTGCATCGGGCTCCCTGCTCAGCAGAGAGCCTGCTTCTCCCTCTTCCACTCCCCGTGCTTGTGCACTCTCTCTCTCTGTCAAATAAATAAATAAAATCTTAAAAAAAATTACTCAGGCCTTTTGGCATATTTCTTTTGGTTCTGTGGTTCCCTGTCTGTGGTGGTAGCTTTTTTATCTTTATTTTTTTTAAATATGTACTTTTTTTGTAGTCTGCTTTTAAAGTTAACAGTAAATTTTCTGGTTCTGGCAATATTGTAGACTAGGTAACCTAAAATACCATGTTTTTAGTGTTCACATAACAAACTTTTTTTCAATGTATAGTTGGGCTTATTTAATAAGTAATAAAGTAAGATAATTGCCAGAAAGGAAGGGGGAACTAAAAATCAGAGTGGCAAACATGTAATGTGTCACTGGGGCTCCTTGGGTGGGGTGCTGTTAATTTATCTTCTAGAGGCTTGTGTTTTATCACTCATGTGAGAAAAGGGTGAAGAACCTTTGGGCAGAGAATTGGAACTGAGATCTACCTGTTGGCCCAGGAAGATGGCAGGCAACTTGTTTATTTTAACCTGGATTTTGGAGGGTAGCGGGGGGAAACTATACATTGAGAATTTTAAGTAGTCTGAGCTTTCATGGGTTTGGAGACTCATGCTATATGAAAATTAGACCTAGCCATTGATATCCTTTGACTATTTGACAGAATAAGACCAAAAATTGCTATCAAGAGACATTCCTCACCTCAAGCCACATAGGACACCCACAGGTAGAACCTCATTGAAGATGAGCTTGAAATCCTGAAAGTACCAGTCACGTGAGGGGACAGGCGACCCTGAGCAAGAGTTAACAGATACGACAAAAAGTAAGGTTAGCTCCCCAAGAATTCCAAATAATCAAACCATTGGCTAGACTATAAAATAAGTAGGTTTTAAATGACTAGAAATAAAGACTAAGGAATTGAAAACATAAAAATCAACAAATTACTAAGAAAAAAAAGAACAAGCGGATTTGAAAAACCTAACTAGAACTAAGGTAATGAAAATTAGAATTACTAAAACGGAAATCTCTGTGAATGGGATAAAAAGACCAGACTTAGCTGAAGAGAAAGTTAATCAGCTAGGAGATAAAAAAGTTTCCGAGAAAGAATTTCAGAGATATGCAGAGATAGAAAATAAGAAAGAGGTTAAGAGGCACAGAGGATATAAGGAGAAGGTCCAACATGGAACCAAGAAGGGAGGAATAGAGAGGATAAGGGACAGGCAATTTTGAAAAAGAGAATGAGAAATTTCTAGACTTTATTAAAAATATGAACATTATAGCAAATATTATACTTAATGGTGAAACTTTAGAAGATTCCCATTCGAGTCAATATAAGGGGAGATAATCCACTAAACAAATGGGGATAGAGACCACGTCCACGTTCATGGACAAACCCTGTATTGTCAGAATAGCAGTTCTCCTCAAATCCAAAGTTTCAGTGTAACGCTAATCAAAAGCCTATTAGGATGTCTTTGCTTTGGTGTGGAACTTGACAGACTTCCCCAATTCGTATGGAAAGGCAAAGGACCAGAGTAGCCAAGGGACTAGTGAGGAAGATGTGTACTTGTCACAGATCACGACGTGATAGGAGCTCAGACAATGCGATGTCAGCACAGGGATGACAGACAGACCAGGGGCACAAAGTGGAGGTTAGACACAGATCCATGCATATTTGGAAACTCGACATAAAATATTTACAAGTGAGGGCTGGTATAATTGGTTATCCGTATGAAAAAGAAAGTAAGGAATTTTAAGAAATAAAAAGTGCAAAATATAGAGGAAAAGACTGATTGGTTTGAATACATTAAAATAAAAAACTTTGTAAACAAAATTCAATATACGAAAAAACAAGCCACACACTGGGATGTCAATGCCTATAAATGACAAAGAATTGACACCCAGAATAAAGAATTTCCAAATGAGAAAAAGAGTAGATGGATCGATCTAAGAATATATCTACATTACAGAACCAGCACTGCAGATCACTGAGGTCTGGATGAACTGAGCGTGTAATGCAAACTAGTTATGAGGAAAAAATGAAATTGGGTTCCTGTCTTATACCATACACAGAATCATGTCCAAAATGATTAATGATTTAAATACAAAAGGGCAAAACCTAAAACTTTGGAAAAGTGTGGAGGACGGCATTTTTAAGACTTTGGGGCAGTGAAAATTAATGAACTGTAGCCGCAAGCATCCACACTGACTAAGCTCACGTACACTGTTTTTAAAAAGCTAACTGCAGAGGGATGCTTATGGTTTGGTTTCATTTACCTAAAGTCTAAAACATGCCAGTCATTTAGGGATAAATGCACATATGGTAAAACCACTTTTTTAAAGCCGGGAGGGGAAGGGAAGTTTGAAAACAAAATTCAGGATAGCAATTTCTATGGAGGGAAGATGCACGATGGGATTATGGGATTGTGGGTACTGAAAATGTTAGACTTTCTTATTTTTACATGGGTGTTTAAGGACAGGTATATATTTAAAGGATTCTATATGTCTATACATACAGGAAGTATTTATATATTTGAAACACTTGCTTACTACTGATTTACAACGTATGAATGAAATGTTTTTAAAAAAGGGAAGACTATAACAAACATGCATACCCAACAGTTTTGCCGAATATTAACATTTTGCCCTGTGTCAGATTATACATGTTTCTTCTTTTTTTAAAAGAAACTTGGGACACCTGGGTGGCTCAGTTGGTTAAGGGTCCGACTCGATCTCAGCTCAGGTCTTGATCTCAGGGTCATGAGTTCAAGCCCCGCGTTGGGCTGCATGCTGGGCGTGGAGCCTACTTAAAAAAAAATAAAAAAGAAAAAGAAAATAAATTAAAACATTATAAATAGAGTAGATGTCTAATATCACCCTCCCCCCATCCATTCCTCTCATGTGAGGACATGGGGTATATGTACCTTCAATTATACTTGATAATACCCAACTTTCTTCAAAATAGATCCACCAGTGTATATACTCACCGGCACTGTATAATAGTTGCAGTTTCTCCACATCCTGACGTTTGGTACGGCCACACTTCCATTTTTGCCTATCTGATGGGTATAAGCTGTATCCCACTGTTTTCATTTACGTTTGCCTGGTTATTACGGAGGTTGAGCGTCTTCCCCGCATTCTTGAGTCATTCCCCCGCACCGCGGCCACTGGAGGGAGGGCAGGGCGAGGAGGACGCTGGGTTCCTGCAGGCAGGAGAGCTCGGCTGGCGGAATGACAGCGAGTCAAGGTCTTTTTTCTCTTGCAGGATCAGTTTTGCCTCTTTTTGAACTTCATCTAAATGGAATCATACAGTATCTCTTCTCCATGTCTCTCAATCTTGCTTTCCTATATTTTAAAGCTTTCAGTCAGTATTTTCTATTCTGGGTAATAATTTTAGTATACTTTTCCTCACTAATTTTCTCTTCACATCCATCCATTGTCTGATTTAATTCAGTATGCTTTTCATTCCTATTCTATTTGGTTCTTTTTCATATCCACTAGGACTTTTTTTTTTTTTTTTTTTAAGATTTTTATTTATCTGACAGAGAGAGAGACAGCGAGAGAGGGAACACAAGCAGGGGGAGTGGGAGAGGGAGAAGCAGGCTTCCCGCGGAGCAGGGAGCCCGATGTGGGGCTCGATCCCAGGACTCCGGGATCATGACCTGAGCCGAAGGCAGACGCTTAACGACTGAGCCACCCAGGCGCCCCTCCACTAGGACTTTTTTGGGAGTCCCTTCTTTCTTTATCAAACTTTAAGTAGTCTTTCAAAATTTCAGGGCACATATACACTTACTGTTCTAGTTACCAACTGAGAATCCTGCGATTTTGGGGTTTTGGGGTCTGATTCTGTTGTTTCTGTAGATTCTCCCGCATGTGGCTCATTCCCTTTTTTGTGACTTTTGATTGTGAAATCATATTCTTTGGGATTTTACTTATAGAATTTCTAGGAGGCCTGAATTTATACCTGAGAGGATTTGGATTTGCTTCTTCCACATACCCTGGGTCAGTAGCTACTTGAGACCTGTTTAAATTAGCATCTTTTCAGGACACACAGGTAACAAACCCTAGCCTCAGGTGGGTGAGGGCCAGTGTGTGGTTATACATTCTTACAGGTGATGTTTCTTCTTCCACTTAGAGCTAAGACTGGGAAGAAGACAGCTTTCTGTGGAGCTGCCTCCCACCTGTGCAGCCTTCCACCAGGTCCTGGTGTTTAAAAAATCTCCAGTAAAGTTTTGTGGCTCTTGCCTCCCCAGCCCGTTAAAAACCAAAGCTCCTGGCTATCTCATTGGATTCAGGCTTTTTCATTATTTTGGCCTCTGAGGGTTTAATTTCTTTCTTTACATTTCCTTTCCTTTCTTTCATTACAAGTTTTCTTTCATTACTCTCTCTAAAGAGTTAGTTTATATAGTTCATCCTGCATTTTCAGGTATTCTCTGCTAAGGGACTTTTTATGTTCTTTGGTCTGCCACATTGCTGGTAGTGAAGCTGTGGTATTATTCTTTATACTTTTCTAATTGCTTGAAATTTCATCAGCATCATCATAACTACTACTATTGCTGCTACTATAATATAACCACTTTGCCATGTCTTCAGATATAATTTTCCTAAATACCTTTTCTAGTGGATGTGTAGTATTTCATAATTATTTAACTGGTCCCCTTTTGATGGGCACTTTTCCAGTATTTTGCTACTAAAAACATTGATGAAATGAACACCTTTAGACCTACATCTTGCTGTGCGACCCAGATAAATGCTAGAGGTTGAGTTACTGAGACAAGTAATGCTAAACCTTTTCAGGCTTTTGATATCTACCGTTTAGGTCATTTGGAAAGAGCACCCTTTCCAACGATACAGCTACAGATGTGGCAGGAAGGGAGCCGAGGGCCTGGCTTCTGACTCCCCCAGGGGTGAACGTGGCCACCTGCGGTCAGTGCCTTCCCTGGCAAAATGGACACGGCGGATTGGTGAGGTGGCAGGATTTCTGTCTGTCCTGGTCCCTGTGGTTCTCACTGTGCTCTTTCTTCCCTGTTCCCAGGTGACCTCTCGGTGGACCTTCCGATGCCCAGGATGCCCCCAGGCCCTGTCACACGATGATTCCCACTTTCATGAGCGGCACAAATGTATCAACTTTTTTGTCAAGGTGTATGGCTATATGCCCCTACTGTACACTCAATTCAGGGTGGACTCTGTGCTCTTCAAGACCCGCCTGCCCCACGACAAGACCAAGTGCTTCAAATTCATCTAGGGGCATTGCAAGTTTTGGGGAGAGGATGAGCAGAGTGGGGGAGACGGTTCCTAAGGTTCCTAGACGTTGAAGGGCGTCAGGGCCACCCGCTGGGCGGGTGGCCCAAACCGTCTGCTGGGAGAGGCGGCGGGAAGAGTGGAAAGGAAATAGCCTTCTTAAAGTCGGCCACACTGGGCCTGGAACCCTGGTCGGAGGACACGGGGGTTCCCTACACAGGGCACTGACTGATAGCTTACACTGAGGATCATGGGGACTCCGGGGAGTCACTCACGCAGTTCATAAGCCCAGGACAGCTGGTTTGTGGTTTTTAAATTCAGTAACAACTATTATTATTATTTAAAAGAAAGTTTCAGATTTGCCATTCGAGGCTTATTTATATATATGTGTGTATATATATGTATATATATATGCACACACATTCTCACATACATATACATATACATATATATATAGATAGATAGATTTGGGGGGCAGTTTGAGATTTCTGCCGATTTCACAAAGTGAGGGACCCACTGAGTTTCCTGATGTTCTGTACGTTGGTGGAGATGGATCCTGGCCTTACGGTATCTGGCTCATCCTTAAAGATCATCTCTGTATTCCCCAGGGCATCTGTGTGCAGAAACAAGAAAGGGCAGGCTTGGCCCTCCTAGGGGCCCTGGACGAGATAAGCCCTCTTGGTTTGTTTCTTTCTCCATCTGTTGCCAGCCGGTGATCTGGAGCTTGCGACCTCCTGTTGCTTGAGTCCGTGGGGAGGACCTGCACCTTTGGGAACAGCGGGGCTTCCCTGTGCTGGATTGAGTGTTTTTGAGGATTCATCGCTAGGTCAAGCTGTCCCAGAACTTGTCCTCGCGCACCCATTCTCTCCCGTTTGGAAGAGAAGAATGAGGAAGGAGTGAGACCTGAAGACAGTGCTCCCAGGTGGCTCTTTTTGTTCGGCCCTCCTTTTGAAACACACGTTGTGCTTTGGCTTCAGGCTTTCCTGGCAGTTCTCTCTCACGTAAGAGAACAGAGAACTGGCAGGCCGTACCTCCAGCTGTGATCTGAAGTGGTCTGCAGGTTGGCCTGCTCTCTCTGGCATAGAATGAACGAGCATCCTTTGTGGACCCCCACCCGGCTGGCCGGGAAGTCTTACAGCAAGGCGCCTGCCTTGGGATAAATACCTTGGTGAAATTCACCTTCCCTCCACCTTTGTCTGGACCTATGCCCTATGTTACCTGTAGTTTTTAGATCCCTCATGCCAGGTTGTCCCAGGACCCCCTGAGATTTGGTATGTGCCAGAATGATAAGAAGATAGGCTCCAGTCCGGCCTGAGATTCCACAGGCATTCATACACCACTTTGCACTCTGGGTTTACATTTCTATTCCCTGGCTGAAATGGAAATAAGCTAATTTTTTTTTTTTTTTTTTGGTGGTGGTGGTGGCAGTAGGAGAACCGAAGAGGGTGTCGGTGGCATCTGGCAGGGATTTAACCCATGACTTCTACCATTTTCCTGGACCCCACTTTCTTGCAGTGAAGTTGAACACAGGTGGTTTCCCACAGCTGGACAAAAGCTCAGGTCTGTCCTGGTCATGTACATGCCTTAAGCCAGTTCCGTCTTCCCCAGACCTTGACACCCTGTGCTTCTCTTTCTTGGGGGCACATTCTCCTCTGACCCGTCTGTCTCAGTGGGTCTCTTTAAGTATCATTTTGAAGCCAGGCTCTGTCCTGTAGCTCCCACCCAGGTAGAGGGCTAGCTGGACCTGAAGGACCTCTCCTTATTGGCACACGAGACCAGGGCTGCTCCCAGGGCTTGTGGCCTCCAGAGGTTCCCACTGGCATCTTCTTGTCGCTCTCCTACAGAGGCAGCTACCCAGGAAATCCAATTTTGCTTCTCAGCAGCCCAGCAAAGGGGTCCAGACTCCCTGCACCCTAACTTTCTAACTGCCCTTTCCTTGACTCCTAACTTTATTCCTTTTAGCAGTAGCCTTCTTCCCTCTGGGGAGCCAAAGAGTGTGGTGTTTTGAGCTATATATGTGGCTGCTATTTTTATCTTGTTTATTTTAATGTGAGGAACTCACAAACTGGCTTTCAGTGGGACCCGGTGAGAAAAGCGCAGTCTGTGTTAGGACCCCCTGTCGCGGAGCCAGGCTGGTGGGTCCCCGAATGCTGTTGGGAGATCCAGGAGTAGCCGAGTGGCCTGAGATTCTGGATGACATCAACGTCTACTGCAGGGAGGGTTATGGTGTCAGAGCCGCCAAGAAGGCGAGCGCTATTTGGACCTAACAGGACACTAACCTGAGGGACTCCAAGCAGCAGGCTCTGCTGGACACTGGCCATGTGCCTAAGGGACGCTGCTCAGGAGCAAGAGGCCGGGCAGTCAGACCTTTTACGTTGCTCGGTTAGGCGCTCCTGGAGAGTGACTGCTAGTTAATGCGAGGTGGCCGCGGGGAGGCCCAGCCACACGCTTCGAATGCCCTCGGTGCCCATCTGTCCCGCTGGGAAACTCAGACGGCCTGTACACCACGTGACTGGGACTCCTCTGCAACACGCGAACGGCCCTGCGGGCTCACGTGGGTTTCCCCGGGCGTCCGCAGGTCACCCCTTGTCGCCTGGGCCCAGGACGTCCTCGTCCCCAGCTGGCCAGTTTGCTCTTCGCCCTGGGGGGCACTCCCCTAGGTGAGAGCGTCCCCAAGGTGCTCCGGGGGCCGTCTGAGCGTCTGCGCCGCTGACGGTGGTTTTCCGCGCGGTGCGCGCCGCTCCTCGAGCCCAGGCCTGCGCGGCCGGCGGGGTCCTGGCCGGGCGGGTGGGAGCCCCTCCTCGGCCGCGGCCTGTGCGTGTGCGCGTGCGCAGGCGGCTCCTGGTTTGAAATGATGCCGTTTTGCAGGGGGAAGCTCTTTGATGTCCATGCCATGTCCATCCCACCCCCTTTTCCTGTCATGAGCACAATAGTCTTATGTTGGGTTTTTGTAAAAAAAATAAAAATAAATGGAGACTTTAACTCAAGCAGTGTGGCGGTCCTTTGAGATTTTCTTCTGCAGGGACAGAAGAGTGACCCGAGAGAAGGGGCCTGCCAGATTGCGGGCAGCCAGCTGCCCCCCACCCCCATAAAGGTTTTGGGCTGCGTGATTCGGTCTTGGGGCAGCCTGGTGCTTGAACCCGCGTGATGCTGTCTGTAAACACGAGCGGACGTGGGCAGCCTTGCTTGGGCCCATTTGTGGGATCAGTCGTTGGATGACATAGGAATTTAGGTGTCCTTTACCTGAAGTGAGTGGGATGTAGGATGGCATGTGCCACATCCTCCCTCCTTCCTTGTTTCATGGTAATTTTAAAAATGTGTGTGTGTGTGGCGTGGTGCTGGGGAGCTAGTGTGTTTCGATCTCAAAGAGAGGTGGAAGTTACCATAACCAGTGCGAGGCGTCTGCCGTTTGGCCCCCAGTAGAAATGAACGCTGACTGGGGTGAGGTACGGAGAGTTTCTCAGCGGCGCTTCCTGCATTCCACGTGTCTTAGCGCCAGCTCATTGTGGGAGGCTCTGGGCGCACTGGCGGCAGGACGCCTTCCCCGGCCAGAAGCCACTGCCTGCCGCCGGCCCGTCTCCCTCCCGTTCCAGCAGCTCGCCCAGCCCGGCGGCCCCGCGCATGCTAAGCCGCTTGAGAGCAGGGCACAGTCAGTGCGGAATGGTTTTTTGATGAATGAAAGGCTGGACAAAATATCCAAAGAGGGTCACATGGGAATCCTAGCGGGCAGCAAGCTGAATGGTAACCGGGACCGTAGTGCTTTTGGAATAGAGCTGATGTATTATCAGAGAGTTAAAGAAGCCTGGCACACCCTGGCTGAGAAGTCTTATTTTTATTTTTTAAATCTTCATTGACAAAGGAAGACAAGAGAGCATGCCAAGAAGAATTAAAGACACAGAATGGATCCCAGAAGACATCATCAATGGGTGGGAAGCCTGACCATAGGGCCAGGTCTGGTTTGTTATTAAATTTCCCCTGTTTCTTGATTTGTTTTGGTTAGTTGGTTTATTTTTCAAGTTTTTATTTAAATTCCGGTTGGTAAACTCTTGACTTGTTTTAATTCAGCAAATGGTTTTATCTTTCTCGATTTGTCTTCGTATTTGTGAAAGTACAAATCCTGGTCATATTGCAGGGTTGTCATGTTAGGGTTTAAACTATTTAGATTCTATTTATTTAAAGAGTTGGTCCCAATATTTCATCATGAAAAATTAAGTATATTATTTATAGTATAAACCCATATACCTAGCAACCATTTTACTGTACTTGCTTTGTCGCTCTCTCTCTCATCCCCCTATCCATCTATCTGTCCTTCTATTCACCCTTTTATCCATCCTATTTTTGGTGCATTTCTAAGTGAATTATGACATTAATATACTTCCTTCCAAATACATAAGCACATATATTATTAACTGGAGGTCAATATTAGTTTCTATGTGATTAATATAAAATTTAAATATTTATACCCTGAAGTGCACAAATCTTAAGTGTACATTCTTTTGAGTTTTGACCAATGCATCTACCTGTGTAATCCTATGCCCTATCAAGATACAGAACATTACTGGGGTGCCTGGGTGGCTCAGTCGTTTAAGTATCTGCCCAGGGCCCTGGGATCGAGCCCCGCATCGGGCTCCCTGCTCAGTGGGGAATCTGCTTCTCCCTCTGCCCCTTCCCTCCACTTGTGCTCTCTCTCTGGTTCGCTCTCTCTCAAATAAAATCTTTTTAAAAAGAAGAAGAGAGAACATTACTGTCAAACCCAGAAAGTTCCCTATGTTCCTTCCTGGTCAATCTCGCCTCCACCCCTTAGAGAAAACCAGTGATTTGATTTTGCTTTTTTTCACATTGGATTTGTTTTCCCTTTTCTAGAATTTCATATAAATGGTGTCATACAGTTTTTACTCTTTTGTGCCAGGATTCTAGAAACTCAGCATATTTTTGAGATCAACCCAATGTTGTGTTTATTAGTGATTTGTTCCTTTTATTGCTGGGTAGTACTCCCTCGTACGGCAACATCCGTCCATTCTGTTGCTAGGCACTTGGGCTGTTTCCATTTTGGGCTATCAGGAATAAAACTGCCATTACTATTCATGTCCAGGTCTTTTTGTGGATTTATCATTTTCTCTCAGGTAAATACCCAGGAGTGAAATTGTGTGACAGAGAAGGTAGGTATAATACACATTTAGTTTTATTTAAAAAAACTGCTGGACCTTTTCCCAAAGTGATTGTACCCATTCTGTACAACAACCGAAAATGTTTAGAGTTCCAGTTACTCACATCCTACCAATCTATGCTGTCGTCAGTCTCTTTAGTCATTCTGGTGGGTGAGTAATGGTATCTCATAGTTTCTATGTGCATTTCCCTGAAGACTAATGACATTAAGCACCTTTCTACATGCTTTATATATATTTCCTCTGTAAAGTATCTGGGCAGATTTTTTTGCCTATTAAAAAAGTTTGTCTTTTTTTTTTTTTTGTATTGCTTAAAAAATATATTTTTAACAGATTTTCTTTTTTTTGAGCATTTTAGGTTTACAGAAAAATTGAGTGGAAAAGTAATTTCTTCTCTCTCTTACCCTTAGTATTATCTTGCATTAGTGGGGCACATCTGTGACAATTGATAAGCCAGTGTGGACATATTAACTAAAGTCCTAGCTTATGTTAGGGTTCATTCTTTGTGCAGTATATTTGATGGGTTTTGACAAAAGTATGATGACCTGTGTCCACTATTGTAATATTCTACGGAAGTTTCACTGTCCTCAGAATCCTCTGTGCTCTACCTGCTCTTTGCTTCCGACCCCTGGCAGCCACTGATATTTTTACTGTCTCCATAGTTTTACCTTTTCCAGAATGTCATCTGATTGAAATTGTATAGTATGTAGCCTTCACATATGGGCCTCTTCCACTCAGCAATGTGAATGTCAGTTTCCTCCAGCTTTTTTGTGGTTCGATAGCCCATTTCTTTTCGTTGCCGAATAATATTCCATTGTATGGGTATATTGCCTTTTTATTGTTGATATTAGCCCATTGTCAGATATACGTATTACACATATTTCCCCCATTTTGTGGTTTGCCTATCCATTTTCTTGATACCTTCTGATGAGCAGGAGCTTGTAATTTTGATGTGGTCTAATTTATAATGTTTTCTCTTAGTTATTGCTTTCTATAACTCAAGAAAGCCATGCCACAAGTTCTAAAGATCTTCTCTCTGTTTTCCACTAAAAGCTTTATGGTGTTAGCTCTTATACTTTGGTCTAAGATCTTTTTTTTTTTTAATGTTTCCTGAACTTTTTTATTCATGGGACTCTTTTTTCTCAGGGAACATCTGATAGCACTGGTATGTTCCCTGGATCCCACTTCTCTCCTAGATGATAAACTCCTAGAAGGCAAGGGACTGTAGTTGGTATTTCTTCATTATCTCACAGTACTTGGTTGCTGACTGATTTTAAGGTGATCTTATAGCAAGAGCAGGACATTTGAGTGTTAGTTCTGTGTCACTGTTTTATAAAAGATAAATTTTGTGGATGTTTATAAACACTGAGAAAACCAGAGGTTTTTTTGGTTTGTTTATTTGTTTTTTAAAGATTTTATTTATTTATTTGAGACAGAATGAGAGACAGAGAGCATGAGAGGGAGGAGGGTCAGAGGGAGAAGCAGACTCCCTGCCGAGCAGGGAGCCCGATGCGGGACTTGATCCCGGGACTCCAGGATCATGACCTGAGCTGAAGGCAGTCGCTTAACCAACTGAGCCACCTAGGCGCCCTTGTTTTTGTTTTTTAAAGAACAGGCTAAAATAAAGACGTTCTATGTAAGATCTTGTGCATTAATTTGACATCTGTACCAGGACTGAGTGGAAAGTGCCTTCTTCAACAGATCATTTTTGGAGGAATAGAAAGTCGCCATCATTTAGCAGATTTTATATGCTGGGTCTAAACATCTGTCCAAAAAACAAAACTCCCATTGGAATATTATCAGCCAAATTTTCAAGTGTTATTCTACTTTATTCATTGACTTAAAAAAAAATAATTAAAATGGGGCCCCTTGGTGGCATAGTCCGTTTGAGCGTCCGACTCTTGGTTTCGACTCAGGTGGTGATCTCAGGGTCATGAGATCGAGCCCCATGTCAGGCTCCACGTCTCAGTGTGGAGTCTGCTTAGACTCTCTCTCCCTCTCTCTCTGCCCCTCCTCTGCTCCTAAAAAAAAAAAATCTTCAAAAGAATCAGGTTAGTACTCAGGATAGAATTATCTTCCTTCCTTCCTTCCCTCCCTCCTTCCCTCCCTTCCTTCCAAGATTTTATTATTTGACAGAGAAAGAGAGAGCACAAGCAGGGGAAGTGGCAGGTAGAGGGAGAAGCAGGCTCCCTGCTAAGCAAGGAGCCCAACTCGGGACCTGATCCCAGGACCCTGGGATCATGACACGAGCCGAAGGCAGACGCTTAACCGACGGAGCCACCCAGGCACCCCTAGAATTGTCTTTCTTATATAATCAAGAGAAAAATGCACCTCTCTTTTGGTGAGGTGGTTGTCTGTCCTGGGGGAGTTAGCCAGCAAGGTACTGGAGGAATGGGTAGTGGGGCTGACTTAAAGTACTGCACATCTCACTTGCTTCTTACACTCAGAAGAGGGGCGCCTGGGTGGCTCTCTTGGTTGAGTGTCTGAATCTTGATCTCAGCCCAGGTCATTTCAAGGTCATGAGTTCAAGCCGGGCACTGGGCTCCACGCTGGCCATGGAGCCTACTTAAAAAGGAGAAGAAATAGAAGAAACATCATCCCTTCTCATCTTTGCAAAAGCAATGAAGTAAGAACACAGGTGTGTCTGAAAGACCATAGACAGCCATACTCCAATTTCATTTTAACAATATGCTTGCATTAAGTGCTTAAAGATGAGCATTCTTGCCTTGAAAAATCTCTAGTTTGCTATTTAAATCACCAGAGGGACAACTCTTTGACATAAAATAATTTTGCCAGTCAAGGGCCAATGAGGCAACAAAAAACACACTAGTTATTTTAACAAAGAGAATATAAATAATTAGAGTTTTAGAAAAAACAAAACATTTTGTCCCATACCAAGACATGTGGGAAGAAGTTCCACAATCTGAACCAAAGTTCAGCGCAAAGACATGGTTTATACTTAGAACAAAAGAGTAGCAATTTATCTAGTTTCAACCCCGGGACAAAGTGAGTGATTAAGAAGGTTTTTCACTGTTGACGTTTGGACTGGCTGATTCGTTACTGTGGGGCGTGGGGGGGGGGGGGGACCTGCGCAGTATCGGTGGCCTCGACCCACTAGATGCCCCTAGTGCCCCTTCCATCCCACTCCAGTCATCTCCAGACTCTGTCAAATGTCCCACGGGGAGCAAAATTACCCCCAGTTGAGAACCATTGGTTTAGGTCATGTTACCTTTAAATTTACAGGAAAAGGAAAGGAACCAAGTTCACAACCAGCTTTATGGATCACTACACATAAATATATATTCTAGCACAAGCAACTCTGCCCACACAAAACACAGCCACAAATCCTATTTTAGATCAAATTACTACAGAGCACCTACAATGGTATTGACCTGTGCAGTTAGTATGATAGCCACTAGCCTGATATCCGTATTGAGCACTTGAAACATGGCCAGTATGAACAGAGATGTGCTGTGTAAGTGTAAAATTCACCCTGGATGTCAAAGATGAAGTCCCCAAAACATAATACTCTTTTGTATTGATTATATGCTAAAATAATATAATTTTGAACATAATGAGTTGCTTAAAATAAACTTTTTTAAAATACAAAAAACTCAAAATTAGTAAAATTAATTTTAGTTATTTCTTTTTGATTTTTTAATAATTTTATGTATATAAAATTATACATGTGGCTTTTATTTATGGATTGCACTGTATCTCTGTTGGGCAGTGCTGGGTCTAGAATCACGGGTACCGCTATTCAACCTTACTCTAACTTCTGAGAAACTCTGGACATCAGGTTTAACAGGCATATCTTCCTGGAAGACAAGTTACCACCAATGCCAACTCAGGCATACATGAAGTTTATGACTGTTAGAATGTGTCGTTCAAGGGATGAGACTGTTGTTTTTTTTTTTTTTTTAAGATTTTATTCATTTATTTGACAGAGAAAGAGCACAAGAAGGGGGAGCGGCAGGAGGAGGGAGAAGGAGAAGCAGGCTCCTCAGTGAACGGGGAGCCCGACATGGGGCTTGATCCCAGGACCCTGGGATCATGACCTGAGCCGAAGGCAGACGCTTAACCGACTGAGCCACCCAGGCGCCCCCAAGGTATGAGATTTTTAATCAGGCCACTCAAAGGCAAATCCAACCCATGGCAAGATTATCATGAGAGGACACACACCCAAAATTTGGTTGTTGAAGATTTAACAATGAAAATGGCTATCGATGTTCTTAGGGAATTCAAACTTCCCCTTAGTCTAATACTTCTTTTGTTGCATAATATCACTCTCAAAAAGTTACTGTTAAAAGTAGCGTATCCTTGGATTTTATAGTGTTTGCTATTTGAAAACATTAAGTACATTTGTCTAAGTATTACTTCCTATGTTTTTCACAAAAGCCCTTGGATATAATTAGGGAAAATTACTTACATATTGAAAATATAGCCCAAATTTTGTTTCCAGGAGGAAGATTTTGGCCCCAACGCCCTACATTCTTCCTACAAATGAGTGCAGTTGGTCTGTGTTTAGACTCCACTTTTATGTATTTGCAAATTTCCCTATACTCTTTTCTAATCAGAAGGAAAACAGGCCAGGGTGCCTGGGTGGCTCTTTCAGCTAAGCGTCCGACTCCTGATTTTGGCTCAGGTCATGATCTCCGGGCCATGAGATCAAATTCCACATCTGGCTCTGTGCTGGGCATGGAGCCTGCTGAATTAAGATTCTCTCTCTCCCTCTCCCTCAGCCTCTGCCCCTCCCCTCTAAAAAGAAAAAAAAAAAGGAAAACAGGCATGCATGCTTTAAAGTATTTAGAAAACAACTTAAAAGTTATTTTTTTTTTAAAGATTTTATTTATTTATTTGAGAGAGAGAGAATGAGAGAGAGAGAACACATGAGAGGGGTTAGGGTCAGAGGGAGAAGCAGACTCTCCGCCAAGCAGGGAGCCTGATGCAGGACTCGATCCCGGGACTCCAGGATCATGACCTGAGCCGAAGGCAGTCGCTCAACCAACTGAGCCACCCAGGCGCCCACAACCTAAAAGTTCTTAAGTTGTTAAATGTCTTCCAAATCTGACATAACCAAGGGCTTCTGTTATTCATGTTTATTTATAAATGATTCCTACGTAACACGATTTCTACAAAGACACTGCAAACTAGGAATCCGGGCGAGTCCGGGCTACCCCTGCCGGACTCTAGTGCCACTCTCCCTGGAACTTGGCTTTCCTCCCTTACTGCAATTACTTACTCTCTGCTCCTCTAGGCTGCGAGTGCATCTTCAAGGTAGATGTTGTCTCGTACTCTTTTCCCCAGAGCACCAGAGGAACTTGTTCGTTGAAGGGTCGAACTTTAAAGTCCTTTTCTAGCTCTGAAACCGAGCAATTCTGTCTCCACAAGTGATAATCATTTAAATATCCCCCGATGTATGACGGTTTGACTTAAGATTTTTCTTAAACGCTGTGAAAGCGTTATACATTCAATAGAAGCCACTTGGAATTCTGAATTTTGATCTTTTCCCATGCTAGTCACACACAGTACCGTGCTCCCCAGACGCTGGGCAGTGGCGGTGAGCGGCAGCTCCCAGTCAGCCCTACAGCAGGAGGGTAAGCAACGACACACAGAATTATTCTGTCACTACAGGTGCCTTGGGTGGCTCAGGAGGTCAAGCCTCGGACTCTTGATTTTGGCTCAGGTCATGACCACAGAGCCCGAATGAGATCTGAGATCACAGGAGACTGAGCCTCGCCTTGGGCTCTGCGCTGGGCCTGGAGCCTGCTTAAGATTCTCTCTCTCCCTCTGCCCCTCCCTCCCCGCCGGTGTTCTCTCTCTAAAACAGAACAAAACAAACAAAAAAAACAACAAAAGAAATTCTTCTGTACCTATACAACCATTCCGTTTTTCACTTCCAGTACAGTGTTCAATAAACTACAAGAGATATCAAAACTTTTTACAAAATAGGCTTTGTGGTTAGATGATTTTGACCAACTGTAGGCTAAGAAGTGATCTGAGCACATTTAACGTCAACTAGGCTAAGCTCCGGAGGTTAGGTATATTAAGTGCACTTTCGACTTACCATTATTTTCAATTTACAGTGGTAGTTTAATCCGGAGGTAACCCAATCGTCAATCAAGGAAGATCTGAACTTAGTGATGTACATTTCGATGAAATAAACTATGCACCTGACCTAACACATAACGGCGCTCCATTACAGCAATAATCATTACAACTAAGGTGAACTCACCAGGGCAGCCCAACAGACTCTAGCGAGACATACTAATTCAGCGCAACCCACACCAAGCATCGTGCTTTCTTTAGAAGCCAAGGCTTCAACTACAATACCTTTTCCAAAACTCTGTCAAAACCGGGGACACAGGTTCATCAATTTCATCAGCTCTAGCAGATTCTGTGTCAAGCGGCTCATCGTGGACCCTTGCGGCTTCTGGGCACAATGCAAGAAGGAACTCTGGGCGAGCCGGGAGCCCCGAAGTTCGGGAAGGAGCAAGAACAAGCAGGGCAAAGAAACCTGAGTCTGTCCTCTCCACGCACTGGGCGCTCCGGGTCTGGCTGGCTCGGGCTCTGACCTGCTGCCGCCTTGGGTCTAGGATCTATCTCAAATTAATTTTGGTGGTATCGAGTGTAGTGGTCAACGTTCTAATTCTTATTTTCTATTATGAACGTCTAGTCATTCTAACACCATTTGTTAAAAACTTTCTTTATTGAATTGCTCTGGGGCCTTTGTTGAAAATGCAGCGACTGTGTGAGTGTGGGTACTTCTGAGCTCTCTCTTCTGTCCCGCCGACTTGTCAGTCCTTGTTGCTAGCTCTGTCCTGGCTGGATTCCTGCAGCTCTCCACTTAGTCTTCAAGGAAGCAGAAGTTCACCAACTTGTTCACTGTTCTCAAGATTGCTTTGGGTTTTATTGTAGTTACTTTGTAGTTCTATAAATACATTTGAGGGTTAGTTAATTTCTTGTAAAAAACCTAGAATTAAAATATTTTCGGGTGTCTGGGTGGCTCAGTCGTTAAGCGTCTGCCTTCAGCTCAGGTCATGGTCTTGGGGTCCTGGGATTGAGCCCCGCATTGGGCTCCTTGCTCGGCGGGAAGCCTGTTTCTCCCTCTCCCACTCCCCCTGCTTGTGTTCCCTCTCTCGCTGTGTCTCTGTCAAATAAATAAATACAATCTTTAAAAATAAAATAAAATAAAAATAAAATAAAATAAAAAATGGTAAAACTTAAGGTAACTTAAAAATGACCTTTTAACCTATTTTTTTAAAAAAAGATTTTATTTATTTATTTGACAGAGAGAGACACAGTGAGAGAGAGAACACAAGCAGAGGGAGTGGGAGAGGGAGAAGCAGACTTCCTGCCGAGCAGGGAGCCCGATGCAGGGCTCGATCCCAGGACCCTGGGATCATGACCTGAGCCGAAGGCAGACGCTTAACGACTGAGCCACCCAGGTGCCCCCTTTTAACTTATTTTTAAGTGCACAATTCATTTACCTCAAAGACACAAATGTAGTGATCCAAAGGGGCACCAGCACCCCAATGTTTATAGCAGCAATGTCCACAATAGCCAAACTATGGAAAGAGCCCAGATGTCCATCGACTGATGAATGGATAAAGATGTGGTGTATATAATACACAATGGAATATTATGCAGCCATCAAAAAAAAAAAAAGAAATCTTGCCATTTGCAACGACATGGATGGAACCTGAGGGTATTATGCTAAGCGAAATAAGTCTATCAGAGAAAGACAATTATCATATAATCTCACCGATATGTGGCATTTAAGAAACAAGGCAGAGGATCATGAGGGAAGAGAGGAAAAAGTGAAACAAGATGAAACCAGGGAAGGGAGACAAACCATAAGAGACTCTAATCTCAGGAAACAAACTGAGGGTTGCTGGAGTGGTGGGGGGTGGGAGGGATTGGTGGCTGGGTGATAGACATTGGGGAGGGTATGTGCTATGGTGAGTGCTGTGAATTGTGTAAGACTGTTGAATCAGACCTGTACCCCTGAAACAAATAATACATTATATGTTAATAAAAATTTTGTACAGATCAGACCTCACCTCAACAAATGTTGTAAAAAACATTTTCAAGCCTTAAAAAAAAAAAGATCAATTCCCTGAAGTAAATTACTAAGTCATAGGATATATGCATTTCTATTTTTAAGCTATTGATCAATTGTTCTACAACATGTAATAATTTACATGTCTCAGAAATATTAATAAAAATGACAATGTGTTTAAAAAAATGCATAATTCAGGGCGCCTGGGTGGCTCAGTTGGTTAAGCGACTGCCTTCGGCTCAGGTCATGATCCTGGAGTCCCAGGATCGAGTCCCGCATCGGGCTCCCTGCTCAGCAGGGAGTCTGCTTCTCCCTCTGACCCTCCCCCCTCTCATGCTCTCTCTATCTCATTCTCTCTCTCAAATAAATAAATAAAATCTTTAAAAAAAAAAATGCACAATTCAGTGGTGTTAAGCACACTCACAGTGTGTGACCATCACCACCAGCAATTCCCGGGGCTTTCTCATCTTCCCCACAGGAAGTCTGTGCCCATTAAACAACAGCTCCCTGTTCTTCACTCCCTTCAGTCCCTGACAACCTCGGTGTTGTCTCCATGAATTTGTCTATTCTGGACATTCATGTAAATGAAATCATACAGTAGCTAGTCTTTTGTGTCTGGTTTATTTTACTCAGCATGTTTTCAAGGTTCATCATGTTGTAGCATGTGTCAGAACTTCCTGTTTTAATTTTTAAGTAGGCTCCACGCCCGAACTAACGTCCTCGAGATCAAGACCTGAGCTGAGATCAAGATTCGGATGCTTCACCAACTGAGCCACCCAGGTGCCCCCAGAACTTCCTGTTTATGGCTGGTAATATTCCATTTTACACACAAACACACACACAAGCACACACACACACGGTCTTGGAAATTTGTTCCTCTCTACTTATGAGAAATTTAGGAGAAACTTATGTTTTATCTGTTATTCCTGTGAGCTCAAATCAAAAGAGCACAATGCACAGATTATAACAGGTGCCTATTAAATGTTCATTGGTGATTGGAAGGGCCTATTGATGACTGGAAAAGACTTTATAACATCAAAGTTCACTATTTTCAAAATACTGTGAGTACTGTAACTAGTTACTAGATTAAAAATTTATATTAGATCATCTCGAAAATGTCAGCAAACTTTTAGTTGATCATGTTTTTAGTAATCCAAAATTTGTATATTCAGATTAAAGTTACTTTTTATTTGTGATTGATTTCCTCGTCAGATATCAGGAAGACTCATAAATGGGTTAGGAATTATTACCATGGCTTGTCGTAGAGAAGGGTAAAAGATCAATTCTGCTAGCACAAGAATTATTGTGCACAGGGTACACCTCCGTTTTTTACATAACAACATAAGAGAAACAAGAAGCAGCCTGTATGCCTAATGACAAGATGTGGGCAAAACACTCAAAGACCTGCGGTACTATGACTCAAAAAATGCTTTAAGTTTAATACATGTAAAATAATGTTTCACCAGCTTTACTGCTATTATTGACATACCATGTCAGTTTAAGGTGTACAACGTGATGATCTGATACACGTACGGACTGAGAAATGATTACCATGATAAGGTTAGTTAACAGCTCCATTGCCTCATGTAATTACCATTTTTGTGGTGATAACTTTTAAGATCCACTCTTTTAGCTTTCAGGTATATTTTACAGTATTGTTAATTAGTCATCATGCTGTACATTAATCAGAGCCCCAGAATTTACTCATCTTATAGCTGAAGTTTGTACCCTTGGAACAACATCTCCCCATTGCCCCCACCTCCCAGCCTCTGCAAGCACTATTCTACTATTTCTTTGAGTTTGCATTTTTTAGATTCCACATGTGAGTGAGAACAGAAGGGAATACCTTGGAGATATTGCAGGTTCAGTTCCAGGCCACTGCAGTGAAGCGAATATTGCAATAGAGAGAGTCAAATTAGGTGTTTGGTTTCCTAGGGTGTATCAAAGTTATGTTTATAGTGTCGTCTGTTAAGTGTACAACAGCAGTAAGTCTAAAAAATACATCCCTTAATTTAAAAATACCTCACTGATAAAAAATGCTGACCATCATCTGAGCTTTGAGTTGTAATCGTTTTGCTGGTGGAGGGTCTCATCTTGACGCTGATGGCTGCTGATGGATCAGGGTGGGGGTGTCGAAAGCTGGGGTGGCCGTGGCAATTTCTCAAAATAAGACAACAGTGAAGTTCACCACAGTAGTTGACTCTTCCTTTCATGACTTCTCTGCAGCACGTGATGCAGTTTGATAGCATTTTACCCACAGAACTTCTTTCAAAGCTGGAGTCATTCCTCTCACACCCTCCTGCTGCTTTATCAACTAAGTTTCTATAATATGCTAACTTCTTTGTTGTCATTTCAACAGTCTTCTGAGCATCCTCACCAGTAAGTTCCATCTTAAGAAACCACTGTCTTTGCTCACGCATAAGAAGCAACTCCTCACCTGTTCAAGTTTGATCCTGAGCTTGCAGCAGTCCAGTCCCATCTTCAGGCACCTTTCTAATTCCATCCAGTTCTCTTGCTGTTTCCACCACATCTGCAGTCACTTCCTCCACTCAAGTCTAGAACCTTCAGCTTGTAAAAAATGCAGTATCTGCAAAGCACAGCATGAGGTGTGCCTGGACAGTATTTGTTTTTCTTGGACTTATTTCACACAGCATGATGCCCTCGAGGTCCATCCGTGTTGTAAAAGGCAGAATTTGTGTTTTTTTATGGTTGAATAATATTCCCTATTGTGTGTGTCCCACCTTTTCTTTATCCATTCATCCATCACCGGACCCTCAGGCTGCATCCATGGCGGCTCCTCTGCCTTCTGCCGCAGTGAACATGGGGGCTGCAGATGTCTGAGACAGTGACTTCATTTCCTTGGGCTATCTGCCTAGAACTGGGATGCTGGGTCATATGGTAGTTGTATTTTCCATTTTTGGAGGTACTTCGTACTGTTCCGCAATAGTTGCACCAATTTACATTTGTACCAACAGTGCACGAGGGTTCCCCTTTCTCCATATCCTTGCCAACCCTTGTTATTTCTTGTCTCTCTGAGGATAGCCATTCTGACAGGTGTGAGGTGCTGTCTCATCGGAGTTTTGAACAGTTACATTTTCCTGACAATGAGTGACATTGAGCATCTTTTCATATACCTGGTGGCCATTTGTACGTCTTCTTTGGAAAAAATGTCTATTCAAGTCCTTTGCCCATTTTTAAATCAAGTTGGTTTTTTGGTTTTTTTTTGCTGTTGAGTTGTAGGAGTTCTTTATATATTTTGGATATTGATTCCTTATCATATAGGTGGTTTGCAAATATTTTCTCCCATTCAGTAGGCTGCCTTTTCATTTTGTTGATAGTTTCCTTTGCTGAGCAGAACTCTTTTTAGTTTGACGTAGTTCCACTTGTTGATTTTTGCTTTTGTTGCTTATGCTTGGTGTCATATCCAAAAAATTATTGCCAAGGCCAGTGTCAAGCAGCTTTCTTCCGATGTTTTCTTCTAGT